CTATATATATATATATATATATATATTATATATATATATATATATATATATATATACGTATATATTCTCAAATCCTCACGACCGGTACTCCAGAGCGATGTTGGCCTCTCATTTTTACATACGAGGGTAGTCTGAAAAGTTTTTGAGCCTTAATGTGAAGATGACGTTACTCGTCAAAACCATTCTAATACTACAATAGTATATGCTTTGAAAGACTTTTGTGAAAATTTCAGTCATTTTGGACGCTCAGTTGTTGTTTGATAATCGTTTGTGTCAGTCGATGTCAGTGTTTTTGTAAAAATGGAAAAAATTGAATATCGTGCCGTGATTAAATTCTTACATTTGAAAGGCAATACGCCTGCGCAAATTAAAATCGAGTTGGACGCTGTTTACGGGGACTCTGCCCCATCATTTGCCACCGTAAAAAGATGGGCAGCTGAATTTAAACGTAGTCATACCAGCTTGGTTGATGATGAGCGTTCGGGACGGCCAAAAACTACGACTATCGCTGATAACATCGAAAATGTTCACTAAATGATACTGGACCGTCGAATCAAGGTTAGAGAGATAGCAGAAGCTATGGGGATATCGAAAGAACGCGTTTGTCATATATTGACTGAAGAAATGCGCAAGCTATCCGCGCGTTGGGTGCCGCGCTTGTTTACTTTAGACCAAAAAAGAATTCGAATGAACATTTTCAAGGCCCTGTTGGAGCGGTTCAAGCGAAACGAGTCAGATTTTTTGCGTCAATTCATAACTGTAGATGAAACTTGAATCCACCACTACACTCCAGAGACAAAAGAACAGTCAAAACAATGGACTGCAAAGGGTGAACCTGCTCCGAAAAAGATGGAGACGGTTTCATCAGCTGAGAAGGTAATGGCGACTGTTTTTTGGAATAGTCACGGAATTGTGTGTATCGACTATCTTGAAAAAGATAAAACAATAACGGGAGCGTTACGCATCATTACTTGATAAGTTGAAGGCAGAAATTGCAAAAAAACGCCGCATTTGAAGAAGAAGAAGGTGCTGTTCCATCAAGACAACGCACCTGCTCACACTTCGGCGGTCGCCAAAATTCGAACTGCACTTCGAATTGGTTGACCACCCATCGTATTCATCAGATTTGGCCCCCAGCGACTTTTTTCTGTTTTCTAAGCTTCAGATAGAGATTTTCATCGAACGAGGAGGTCATCGCATACATAAACGCCTATTTTGCGGAGCAAGACGCCAACTACTATTTGGAGAGGTTAAAGAGGTTAGAGTATCGATGGGAAAAGTGTATCGACTTAAAAGGAGATTATGTTGAAAAATAAAACTATATTTGACCAAAAAAATACTTGTTTCTGTGTTAGGCTCAAAACTTTACCAGACTACCCTCATACTCCTATCAGCGCTCCTCTTGGGTTACCCTTCAGAAGGACCGAATCTCAAAATTTTCTTTTGTTGTCTCGAAAGGTACAACATGGTTGGCAGAGTTTTATCCATTTTTTTTTGTCATTGTCGATGTCCATTTCTGCATAATCTTCATGGGCTTGGAGAGCCAAGAAAATATAAAGACACTGAAGAAATTGGAAACTTTGAAATAATCAATTTGCGAATTCTGAAAAGAACTTTTTGGAACAACAGAAGATCGACAAGGAATGTGATGAATCGATAGTGGATAATCGAAGATTACTGCATTCGCATATGTTTAACCAATCGCCAATGGCTATTCACGAACAATGTTATTCTATTGCCACAATGAGATCATAGTGACAAATAAATACTACCGCTACATTACCCATCGATCTTTTTTTGGTTTTGACTAGGATCTACTCCTTTAGCTCCTTTATTCGATTTTGATTAGATTTCTTTATATTTTATCTCATACCATATCTGTATTAAGTTTCACGATTGGTCTAATACCATCAAATCTTCCCAACATTCCATACTCCTATCAAGTATAATTTTTATATTAATAATAGTATTTTTACAATTACATAACTAATTTGCTATTCGCGATCCATGAAAAACTTTTAGAGAGAACGTTATGAAAAAGAAAACAATAAGTTTTTCGTAAATACAAATATAAACAAATATATAGTAATTCGGTGCACTAATAATTCAATATAGTCATTCAACTGAACGTTGCCTATTTTAATTCAAAAATTTTTCGAATTTCATCTAATCGCTTGAATGAACACTTAATTAGAGCATGTATATTTCGAAAATCCAAAAAATTGCTGTTTTCATCTTTGAGACAAACTATTCCCTTAATCATTCCTTAATCGTTTCCAATATGCAGTTAAATACTAATATTAGGTGTACAAAAAAGTTCTGAGCTTTAGATTTCATACAACCGAAATAACAATTTAAATTTTATATATCTTCCCGCCCTTTTGCGGTTTTAAAGCGTTGACATTTGGCCTTCTAAAATGCCATACGGTTTGGCGTTTGATGCACATAATTTCAAAAATCAGTAGTGTTCACGATGGCAATAACAAAAGAGCATATTCGATTTTCCATCCATTTCGCGTTTCATCTGAAGAAAAATGCTGCTGAAGCCACTGCAATGATTTGTGCTGCATATGGAGAGAATGCTGTAAGTCATACTACATGTAAAAGATGGTATCAAAAATTTCGCCAAGGAGATTTCAGTCTTGAAGATGAACCGCGTGCTGGATGCTCTCAAAAGATTGAAACGGACGAATTGCAAGTACTGCTGGATATAAACTCTGCACAAACTGAAAAGGAGCTTGCAGAACAGTTTGGCGTTACGCAGCAAACCATTTTCCGTACGTTTACATACGATGGGAAAGGTTCAGAAGGAAGGCAGATGGGTTCCGCATGAATTGTCCGAAGACAACAAAAATCGTCGGCGTGACACTGCACTCACTTTGCTTTCAAAATTCCGGAAAAAAGATTTTCTGCACAAAATCATTACAGGCGATGAAAAGTGGATTCTTTATGATAACCCTAAACGTAGAAAATCATGGGTTGATCCTGGTCAACCTTCTACATCGACGCCAAAGCCCAATATCCACGCCAAGAAGGTTTTGCTTTGTATCCGGTGAGATTGGAAAGGTGTGTTATATTACGAGTTGTTACAACCGAGTGAAACAATCACGGCAGACCGTTAGCAACAACAATTGACCAATTTGAGCGATGCATTAGAAGAAAAAAGGCCATTTACTGGCCAAGGACGTTGTAAAGTGATCTTGCTTCATGACAATGCTCGACTACATGTTGCGAAATCGACTCAGGACCATATCTTTTTGTTAGGCTGGAAACTTCTCCATCATGCGGCGTATAGCCCAGACATGGCGCTTTCCGATTACTACCTATTCCGGTCGCTAAGGCATCATTTGGCTGATACACATTTCACAATAAGATTTGAAGAGATACGAAAATGCATTGATGACTTTATCGCTTCGAAGCCGGTGAGTTTCTATCATCAAGAAATTCGCAAGCTACCCGAAAGATGGCAAAAGGTCGTTGATGCAAACGGGGATATTTCGCTGATTAATATTTTTTTTGTTTTTGAATAAAGATTGAATTTTACAAAAAAAAAGCTCAGAACTTTTTTGTAGATCTAATACATATTACATATAAAGATAATTTATATTAATTATAAAGAAAATTATACTTACAGTAATAAGATTATTGGATACATTCAAAAATGTCAAATCTGTTAAATGATGTAGTGCATCAGTGGGAAAATCCTGAAGAAAATTAGCCGAGAGATCTAACCGCAATAAGTTGAAAATCCCTAAAACCATAAACATTATATTTGTTTACATTACAATTTTACACCTTTGTTTTATTATTTTCTATTTCGTCATCACGTTGCAAACAAAAGTATTTTGACAAATAAATTTGAATAATACATTTAAGATCAGTAGGAAATTAGATCAGATTAATGTGCCATCATTTGCATGATATTAAGCTCATGTTTTGTCGAATTTATTGGTCATAACAAGAAATTCAACTTAAAAACATAAACATGAAAGCAGAATGTTGTGCGTGCATGCGTGCGTACGTACGTGCGTACGTGTGTGTGGTGGGGTAGGGGGGG